CTGCCTCGACCTCAGCCTCAGCCTCAGCCTGCTTCAGCCTCAGCGTCAGCCTCTCAGCCTCAGCCTGCATCAGCCTCAGCCTCAGCCTCAGCCTGCCTCAGGCTCAGTCTCAGCCTGCCTCAGCCTCAGCCTGCCTCAGCCTCAGCCTCACAGTTGGCTCCGGGCAATCAAAATGTAGCCTGGGAGTTGTGTTCTGGGAACACGAAGAACACGAAGTGGCCTACAGTTGGCTCCGGGCATTCAAAATGTGGCCCGGGAATGGTGTTCTGGGAACACGAAGAACACGAAGTGGCCTACAGTTGGCTCCGGGCGTTCAAAATGTGGCTCGGGAATGGTGTTCTGGGAACACGAAGAACACGAAGTGGCCTACAGTTGGCTCCGGGCATTCAAAATGTGGCCCGGGAATTGTGATCTGGGAACACGAAGAACACGAAGTGGCCTACATCTGGCTCTGGGCATTCAAAATGTGGGCCAGGAACGGAGTTCTGGGAACTCGAAGACCACGAAGTGGGTTACTGTTTGCTTAAAACGAGTTCCCCGGCATCCTCCCCCGGATCGCGCCCAGACCCCCCTGGGGCGTCATGATGTTCTTTTTTAACCCTACTAGAAACCTATCAGTCTTCGCTGTTAGGTAAAAATCGTATGCGTGCGTATGTATATATATATATATATATACACATCTGTAATTCGGCCTGTGAGGGCCCTCGCTGGGCCCCAGGATCGTCAAAAACCGCTCTGCACGCAAAACCGTTCCCGGAGCGAAGGGCTCATAAGGCCTCCGGGGCCCACGGCGGCGGGGGTCGGGGACGGCTGGCGGGCGCTCTCCTGGCGCCCAGCTCTCCCTCTCCTCGGGCAGCGCGACGGCCCCGCGGCCGCCCGAGGCCGCGGTCGGAAGCCCTCGGCGTGTGCTCTCTGCTCGGCCGCGGGGAGGTCTGGTGGCCCAGGCTCCTCTGCCCCCCTCTCCTTCCTCCCCCTCCTCCTCCTCCTCCTCCCTCCTCCTCCTCCTCCCTCCCCTCCTCCTCCTCCTCCCCCTCCTCCTCCTCCTCCTCCTCCTCCTCCTCCTCCTCCTCCTCCTCCTCAGGCACAGGGTCTGGGGACGCGGCCTTGAGCCACCGGGTCCAGGGTCAGTCTGGGGTCCAGGGCCCAGGGGCCCAGCACCCAGGACCGATCCAGGATTCAGGGTCAAGGTCTCGTGGAGCCGGGAGCCGCGCCCTCGGCTTCGTCGTCGTCGTCGCCGCCGCCACCGCCGCCGCCGCCGTCGTCGTCGGCGTCGTCGTCGTCGTCGTCGTCGTGGTCGTCGTCGTCGATGGGGCGAGGTTTGTGGGTGGGTCAGGCCGCCTGTCCAGGGCCTGGGGCCTGGTACGGCTGAGCGGCGACACGGTTCGCGCGAGCGTTGAGAGCGGGCGTTGGGATGGAGAAGGGGTCCAGTTTTTCGATCGAGTACGAAAAATTAAGCTCACATGATTTGTCGAGCTCCGCCCCCCCTGGCGGCGCCTCCAGCGCCGCCCCTGGCGCGCTCCGCGCGCCAGGGAGGTGGGCCCAGAGGCAATCCGAGAAACCCGCGCGGAGTTCCGACAGTTTCTGCTTCTGCTATTGTTCCCCCGACCTTGCGGAGGGGTTCCCGTTGTGTGTTCCCCCGGGGGGTCTCGGGGGGTGCCCCCGGGACCATGGCCCTGGCCACGCGGCGAACGCCGGCGGAAGACGGCCCCATTTCGGCAGACGCATTTCCGTGCGGCACGGGCGGCCCCAAGATGGTCCGCAAGATGGTCCAAGAGAGCCACGAGTCGCCAGCAGGTCGATCCATATGCAGGCCGTCCAGGATGGCTTCCTGACGGGCCTGGAAGCCACCAAGCCGCCCCAGGAGGCCTTGAAGAGGCCCCCCAAGGGGGCCCCACGAGTCAAAATTCACATGTTTCCCCAAAGCGTTGGAAGGTTTTTCGCGTTTTCGACTTATCGGCCTCCCGACGCTCCAAGACGGCCCGAGACGCCGCAAAGATCACCCCAAAATGGCCTAAGAGGGCCCCAAGAGAGCGCCCAGACGGCCCAAGACGCCTCCAAGACGGCCCAAGAGGCCTCCAAGAAGGCCCCAGAACGCCCGAAGAGGGACCTCAGCGGGGGGCAGGGACTGACATTTTAGGTTCTCCGCAGAAAACCACCCAGGAGGCCCCAAGATGCCCCCAAGGGGCGTCAATAAGCTTGCAGGAGGTCCCCAGGAAGCCCCCGGAGGCCCCCAAGAGGGCCCCAATACTGCCTAAGAGGGCCCCGAGAGATGGCCAGAGACGCCCCAGGGCCCGAAGATTGCCCAACAGGGCTCCAAGATGGACGGAGACGCCCCGACAAAGTGGCAAAGCGTCAAACGGACAACACGGGAATCAGCATGATGCGCCTTAATAAAGCGGGACAGCGTCAAACGGACAACACGGGAAGCAGCATTATGCGCCCTATAGGCATTCTCTTTTTTGTTTTTCTGTTCTTCGCAAGTCACGCCCACTAGTCCTCCAAGGTCGGGTTTCGATGCGGTATCAGGTTAAATTCGAGGCATCGCGGAGCAGTCCCGGCCAGGTGTGTTTCCGACATTTCGGCTTCCTGGGGCCAGCTTTGTGCACGGGGGCACTCAAAAAGCAGCATGCGAAGAAAAAGCGGCCCCCCGGATGGGGTCGGGAGTTCGGGAGTTCGTGTCGTGCCGACGTGGCAGCGACCACGCCGTGCACGTTCGAGGTTGAATTTTGCCAGAGGCCAGAATCGGCCAGTGTGAATCGATCTTGCGATCGAGGAGCTGCCGATCGCCGACGGCCGAACGGCCCACGCGGTGTCAGAGTCCGCAGCGCCGGGGTCGCCGCGACGCGAGGCCGCCGCAGTGCGTGGCACAGACCATGGTGCTGGCACGCTGGGGCCCCCCCTGGTCGCCGAACGCGGTGCGACAGCAGAGTCTTGCGCGCTCGGGTTTTGCCCCCCCCCCCCCCCCCCCGCTCGGGCTCTCTCCTCCTCCTCTCCTCCTCCTCCTCCTCTCCTCCTCCTCCTCCTCCTCCTCCTCCTCCTCCTCCTCCTCCTCCTCCTCCTCCTCCTCCTACCTCCTCCCTCCTCCTCCTCCTCCTCCCTCCCCCTCCTCCCTCCTCCCTCCTCCCTCCTTCCTCCTTCCTCCTTCCTCCTTCCTCCTTCCTCCTTCCTCCTTCCTCCTCCCTCCTCCTCCCCCCAGAGATCTCCCAGATTTCCGAGATTTCATGACGTTCCCAACGGCCATTCTTGCGTGCAGCCGATGGAGGGGGTGTCCTTCTGCTCTGTATGCTAGGGCCCTCCGCCTCGGTCATACCTCCGAGCGGCCCTGGGCCTTCGGCGGAGGGGCGGGTGCTCTTGGCCCACGCTCCCGTGGGCGTGTTTCGGCTGCACCTGTCAAAGGTGGTGGCAGGACTGGAGGGATCGAGTGCGCGGTCGGCTTCTCAGGGTGAGACAACGATCTCGTCGAGGCTCGACGGTTCGACCGCGCATCGCGCCAGACCGATGGGGTCGGAGGTCGATAGAAACCCCACCCTGCCGAGTCGATCAGCGGTTGCCCATTTTCGTTTGTCGAGAGGGTTGTGCGGTCGCAGTTGGGCCTGGGCCCGGCGGGTCTGGTTCTGAGTCGTTTTCATTAAAGTGTGTCTTGCCTGAGGACCCCCTCTCCCCCCTCCTCCCCTTCCCTCTCCATCCTCCTCCCCTCTCCCCTTGCCGTCCCTTCCCTCTCCCCATTCCTCCTCCTCCTCCTCCCCTCCTCCCCTCCTCCCTTCCCTTCCCTTCCCTCTCCCGCCCTCCTCCCCTCTCCCCGTTCTCCCCTTCCCTTCCCTTCCCTCCCCTCTTTTCTTTCCTTTCCCTCTCCGCCCCCTCTCCGCCATTCCCTCCCCTTCCTTCCTGCTTTCCGCCCGGTGTCACCAGCCCAGGTCTGTCGTATAGTTGGGCATATTGTTCTCACCGCTGGCTGCCGTACGTGCAATCTTGCCCACACGTTTTCTAGACGCAAGGCTTCAGTCAGTCAGTCAGTCAGAACTCGAGCGGTGATGTCCACCCCCGATGAGGCAGTGATGGAGTCGCTTGCCGTCCAAGGGGCAAGCCACGTGCGCGGCACCGCGGCGGGAGTGCGATGCCATGGCGAGCCGCCTCCCATCGTCGGGAAGGAGAGTGAGCCTCCTCCTCCTCTTCCTCCTCCCTCTCCCTCCTCCTCCTCCTCCTCATCCTCCTCATCCTCCTCCTCATCCTCCTCATCCTCCTCCTCCTCCCTTGGAAGGTAAGACAACGGCATCAGCATAAGCTTGCGGGGGTCCGCGCGGATTTCTTGGGTCGGCGCTGGACCCCTTTCCCCCCCGTTATTATTATGTGAGAGTGAGCGAGCCTGAACGGTACTTCAGCATCCCTGCGCGCGCGTGGCCAGAGTAGGGTGGCGCGCTGGGAGGGCGCGTCTGGAGGGCACCCTGGGGAGCTGGACTGCCTGAAGAAGCGGCTGCTCGCAACTCCGCCTCCGCCTCCCATTCCTCTCCCTCCTGGCCCCCCTCACCCTTGATCCGCGATTGCGGAGTGCTGCGTATTCGGGTAATTCATCAGGAGGGGAAAAACACACAGATCGAATTCACCGGCGACTCCCAGGAAAATGTGGGAGTATTGTGGGAAACTGTGGGAAGTGGGCGGGAAGACGAACACCCGGAAATTGTGGCAAAAGAAAGGGAATCCAATTATTCATGTTTGTCTGTTTGTGTGTCCCAGGGCCCCTTTCGGGGGCGGAAAAGAGTGGGGTGATGACTAGGGGGGGGTGGATATCATGGCGAGGGCCATGATGTTTCCCCAGATTTCATGGCGCCTTTTCTTGTTTCATTACGTCCCTGGCCCCCCCGCTGGGCCGCGCACATGCCGCCGGTCATGATTTGCACCCCCCCCTCTTGGACACCCCCCTCTTGGCCGCCCCCGATTTGTGTGTCCCAGGGCCCCTTGAATTCAGCGGTGTTGTGCTGCCGCGGTGCCGCGGACGTGCTGCCGAGGTTCCTCGTGGTGCGGAGCTGGCCGACATCAAGAGGGCGTACAGGGCCTTGGCAGTGCGGCACCACCCGGACAAGGGCGGGGACCCCGAGAAGTTCAAGGCCGCATCGCCGGCCCTCTCCTCCTCCCCTCCTCCTCTTCCTCCTCCCCTCCTCCTCTTCCTCCTCTTCCCCCTCCCCTCCTCCTCCTCCTCCCCCCCTGGAAGACCTCCTCCCCTCCTCCTCTTCCGCCTTCCCTCCCCCTCCTTCTCCTCCTCCTCCTCCTCCCCTCCTCCTCCTTTACTTCCTCTTGTATCCTCGTGTCCTCCTCTTCTCCTCCTCCTCCTCCTCCTCCTCCTCCTCCTCCTCCTCCTCCTCCTCCTCCTCCTCCTCCTCCTCCTCCTCCTCCTCCTCCCCCCCTCCTCCCCCTGTGTGGGCGTGTGATATAACTCTGAGTCGGGCATGTCCCTCTGCAGAAAAAATACTCAAAAGGAGTCAAAACATGGTCTGGGGATGTGTTTTTTGACTCTTTTTGCTATGTCCGAATGTGTTTTGACTATGTTTCATTTCTCTTCCAAAATATGCCTGTAGGGTAGGTTCGTGTTGTGTCGACCGGCGGCGACCCCGCCAGCGGCGTTCAACTGTGAACGCCGCGGGCGACCCAGAATCGTTCGATGGGGACCGATTTGGACGTTTCGGAAACGGCCGATCGTTCAAGATTGAACGATCCCCGCGGTGTCAGAAACCAACTCCAAAGTCGGCACGACACGAACCTGCCGTAGGAGGACATGCCCGACCCGAATAGAAGGACGTGGGGCCGGTGATCGGCGTCGGGGCCGCTTTGGGGTTCGTCTCCCAGCAGGGCAGGGCCCCCTCCTCGCCCCGTGTTCCCTCCAAATCTCGTTTCTACCCCTTGCGCACTGTGAGTGTTGCTCTCCCACCCCCTCGAAGACCTCCTCCCCTCCTCCTCTTCCTCCTCCTCCTCCTCCTCCTCCTTCTCCTCCTCCTCCTCCTCCTCCTTCTCCTCCTCCTCCTCCTCCTTGTTCTCCTCCTCCTCCTCCTCCTCCTCCTCCTCCTCTCCTCCTGTTACTCCCCTCTTGTATCCTCGTGTCCTCCTCCTCCTCCTCCTCCTCCTCCTCCTCCTCCTTCTCCTCCTTCCTCTCCCCTGCTCCTCCTCCTCATCCTCATCCTCCTCCCCTATGAGGAAGCGCGCCCCCCTCCGCATAGTGTTTTACACACATGGGATGTTTGCGAGTTGGATCTTTGTCCATGGGTATGCTTGTACGCGCTTTTTCCTATCCGAACGTTCCGGGTTCTTGCAGCATGTTGCTCCCGCTGCAGAGTTGGCCTTCTTTTGGGGCTTCCGCTCGATCCGAATCGTGCTCCCGCTGCAGCGTTGGCCTCATTTCCGCGCTTCCATTTGATCGGAATCGTGCTCCCGCTGCAGCGATGGCCTCATTTCCGCGCTTCCGCTCGATCCGAATCGTGCTCCCGCTGCAGCGTTGGCCTCATTTCCGCGCTTCCATTTGATCGGAATCGTGCTCCCGCTGCAGCGATGGCCTCATTTCCGCGCTTCCGGTCGTTCCGAATCGTGCTCCCGCTGCTGCGCTGGCATCATTTCCCCGCTGCTGGTCGTTCCAGCGCTGCCGGCATTTCCAGAGCCGTGCCATGGCATGTTGAGGCTTCCGCTCGATCCGCATCGTGCTCCCGCTGTAGCGCTGGCCTCATTTCCAGTGCCATGCTATGGCATGCAATATAATGTAATGTTGTGTTCTGCTGTGCGATGCCATGCCTTCTGCTGCAATGCGTCACTGTGCAATGCCCCGCCATGCTATGACATGTTGCGCTCTGCCGTGCTCTTCTACACCATGCTCCGCCGTGCACTACGGTGCGTCTCGCACCCTCTGGGGATCATTGCCCTACTCGACATCCGACTGTGCGAATAGAGACGAGACCAATGCCATGGTAAGGGATGGGAGTGAGGAGTAGGACGTCAGATATCGGAGACTGGAACATACATTACCAGTGGCGGGCTGATTGATTGAACCCAGGACTTTGGAGGGTTGGGGACGACGTCGGGGTGGTGAAGTGTATACTTGTTGTTCCGCTTCCCGAGGAAAACAAGGAACATATATATATATATATATATATATATACACCAGGGTCCCGTATGCACCATCATTCGCTTTCCTGTAAAAGTTCCATTGCAGGGCAGGAAAAAGCATTGCGGTAGAGAATTCGTTTACCTAAGATAAAGCGCTTGCGCACCTAGCTTGCCTCCTCCCCCCAGCCTCCGCCCCATGTGATCCGACAGGCACCAGACCCGATCGGGCATCCTCCTCTGTCGGGCGGCTGCCAACGAAGGGTGACCCAAACGGGGGGGCGAAGATAAGGGCCCACAGGGGGCCCTCTGGGGCCCCTTTTGGAGCCGGCTGGTACCCAAAAGGGCCCCTGAAGGGCCCCTGTAGGGCCCTATCCTCCTCCTCCTCCTCCTCCTCCTCCTCCTCCTCCTCCTCCTCCTTCTCCTCCTCCTCCGCCTCCTCACCTTCCTCTCCTCCTCCTCCTCCTCCTCCTCCTCCTCCTCCTCCTTCTCCTCCTCCGCCTCCTCACCTTCCTCCTCCTCTCCTCCTCCTCCTCCTCCTCCTCCTTCTCCTCCTCCGCCTCCTCACCTTCCTCCTCCTCCTCCTCCTCCTCCTCCTCCTCCTCCTTCTCCTCCTCCTCCGCTTCCTCGGCACCCGCCCGACTCCGTCCCCTTCCTCTCCTCGCGCGTGGCCCGTGCGGCGCGGCGCGCCTCTCACTCTCGGGGGGCTCCTCGGGGCAGCTGCCGGCGCGAGCCAGCTGCACGGCCGCGCCCTCCCTCGCTGGGCCTCTGCGGGGTCGCGGCGGAAGCCATGGAGCATCTTACCAGCCTCGAACTGATCCCTATCCCTAAGATCGACACGCCAAGAAGCGGTGACAATCTTGGGGATGCGCCCTCCCAAAAGGAAGGGAACCCCTGAGAGTGGCATCGGTACGAGGAAATGCCCAGCATAGGGATAGAGATATGTTCCAGACTGGTGAGCATTTGCCTCCTCGTGCTGCTCCCTCTCCCTTCGGCCTCCGCCGCCGCCACGCTGCCGCTGCCGCCGCCATGCGTGTCGGCGGCCCCGGCGGGCGGGCGGCGTCGGCATGGGCAGTGCCGAGGCGCGCCCAGGGCTCCGCAGGGGTGCAGCATCAGTCAGCCTAGTGCCGTCCACCGAGCCTGCAAGGTGGACCCTGTCCTTTTTGAGGTGCACTGCAGCTTTGGCTTCGACTTCAGCTGTGAGGAGCTTCGGAGCGCCTTCGGGACATCTTACCTGAGTCCGTGTTGCCTTCCTCCTCCTCATCCTCCTCCTCCCGCGCGTGGTGTGACGCGTGGTGGGACTGGGAGAATGAGGAGAGCAGGACGGAGGATCATAAAGACGAGGAGGAAGAGGAGCAAGATGATTGTTCAACATCAGACAAACATAGATCCAGGGAGACAACACAATTTACGTACTTGCAGCCTGGGCCGCAAGGGGAGCGGGATATGTTCGAAGCGGTGCTGAGATAAATCAACACAGTGAGAGGAGGTTTGTTGAGAGTTTACAAAAAAAAACATCAGTCCGAGTCTTCAGGGTCGCCGCCGAACGAATCCCGCCCCCCCTCCGCTCCCTCCGGAAATTAGCTCTGACAGCTGCGAGCTGGGCCCCCGCATCCTCTTGCGACTCTGGCTGAGGCACGGAGCTCCAGAAGGGTTGAGACCTCTCCTCTCCCCAGGGCCCGACCTGAACTGTAACGCGGTCGTGCTTGGGGTGGCGTCCAGCACATATACGCTTCCAGGAGTAGACTCTGCCCTGAGCTCCCCCTTGGGGAAGAGGTCTGCGTACTTTCGGGGGCGGAAAAGAGGGGGGTGATGACTAGGGGGGGTGGATATCATGGCGCGGGCCATGATTTTTCCCCAGATATCATGGCGCCTCTTCTTATATCATTACGTCTCAGGCCCCCCCCGCTGGGCCGCGCACGTGCCGCCGGTCATGATTTGCACCCCCCCCTCTTGGACCCCCCCCCTCTTGGCCGCTCCCGATACTTTTCTGAGCCCGCGCACCTGTCCGCCGCTTGTGTAAAACCTGCTGCGGGTACACACGAAAAATGAATGAACGGTCACTCTCTGCCAGAAATAGCATCTCATGTCCCAGTCGCTGGGGCCGAGGGGCGTCGAACCCGCGGATTCCGACCCCAGACGTTCGCGGCAGATCCCCAAAGGGGGGGGGTGTCCGATGTCTGGGACCACGAACGCATTTTCGCATTGCCAATACTGACCGACCCACATCCAGACGTGGCCAATATTTGTCGGCCCATCGCTACTGGAGCCTTTGAGCAACGTCGCTTTCGAAAGGTCGAAGCGCGGCGACAATGGAAGGAGCTTGGCTGCAAGTGTGCACGCCAGCTTAGACATGGTGAATTGCTTGCCCAGGTTCTCGCGCTGCTCAGGAGACGTGTTGAGGTGGCGTCAAGCGACAGCTTTGGCAAGTACTTCGGCTGAATCGTTGCCGAGCTTGTGGGCTTGTACTTGTCCATGTCACTCCGATGTGGGCCATCTAAAACGCGACGATCAACGTTGGAAGCAGAGTGCAGCCCCGTGGGCTGAAAGGTGATGAATATGTGTATTGATGTTTGCAAGACATCTGTTCTTTTCTAGGCTCGCAAACTGGCGGACAACGTTGGCGCAGTCTAAAGAACCGAGAGGGTCAGGATTCGCAACCTGTCCCGCAGCCGATATCGCCAGAAATTCAGTTGCCTGCGACGCTTGAGGGGTCGGGGCCCACATAGGGGCCGACCTGTGACATTACATTTGAAAGCAACAAGCCCCCATCCCCCCTGGACATTTCTGGAACCACACTTCGGCAGTCTCCACCGGCCCCGAGAAAGCATTCGACATGGTCAACCGCCGGGACATCTGGACGGGGCTCGAGGATCGTCAAGCACGAAGGGACGCCCGCATGACCAAAGAGGAGCTCCAC